TATTGTATGTCTGAACCTAATATTACATTGTGTGTTAACTAACTGGAATTTAAATAAAAACTTAAAAAAATAAATAAAATTTCAGGAGTTGCTGATTGGATGCACGGAGTGAGAGAGAGGAGTCAAGGGTCTAAGATTACTTTATTGAAAGGAAAAGAAAATTTGGAAGGACATATATAAATAAGAGGATGTCTGCCTAGGGGAAGATGACTGAGACTAGAAATGTGGGAATTAGGTGGGAAATAATAATCAAAAACCATGCATATCAATGAGGATAGCATGCCAGGATGAGTGACTAAATTCTGCATACATGAAGTCCCCTTTAAAAGATAGAAAAATGAAGAAAGGCACACATGTAAGCAAGTAATTTGTCTTCATTGGTTAAAATGAGTTTCAGGATTAATAATTCTCTCTCTCAAAAATTTTAGATATTATCTTTTTACTTTAATTACATCACCAGCAGAATGACCAATGTGTAAAATCCCTAATCACATTTACATCTTGCTTTTCCCTCAGCTCTGAGATTTGTATTAATATATCATTTACTATACCCTTTTAATAAAGTAATTCAGCATACTTCTGAATCTTTAGACTTACCTAGAAGTTCTCTATCAAAATTCCTTTCTCATGAGTGAATTTTCTACTTATAACTTCTAAATATATTGTGGTTCTCTGCTTTGTAATGTAAGAGATCTGTAGTTTTGAAATAGAATGTACTCTTACATGGCTATGTTTCAGTTGCTAGTTTTACCCCACTAAATCTTTGAGGTAAGAACAAGGTTGTATTAATCTGAGTTATTACTATACTTTGTCCATTGATTCACTAGTTCATCAACTATCAACTCAACACCTGTGTCCTAAATTCATGAAATAGAGAGGTGTAGAAAGCATAGCCCCCTTCCTCAAGGATTTCCACTGCTTGAGAGAGAAGATAAAAATGTAGACAATACAAATAACTATACTGTAATGTGCTAAGTGTCCTGACAGAGTATGAACAAAATTAAGTTGGAATTTATGGGGGGGGGGTACATAACTATAATTTGTCTAGGAAAATATTACAGAAGGCTTATACATATGTTCCATTTAAGTGGTAGAGAGACTTGGCCAAATAAGAAAAGGAAGGACTTCTAAAATCTTAAGTAATATTCTTATCCTCTTTCCATTGATTTTCTCCTAGAAGTTCTCCTAAAAAGATAAATGGTTCTTTCAGAATTCAGTTCATTCAAATTAATTAATACAAAACTTCTAGTTAATATAAGAAACTACTGGCCATTTTTTGGATATCCATGTAAAAACAAAATCATGAATTTCAAAGAAACGTATCAAAACAAATTCATTCTGTTTACTACCAACTGTATGTAAAGTCAATATTCAAGATATGTCTATCAATTAAAAAAAGTAATATTTTACAATATAGCAGGTATATCAATTGGCTTTGGCTTCCATAACAAAATACTATAGACTGAGTGGCTTAACCAACAAGAATTAATTCTGTAGAAATTCTGGGGACTAGAAGTCCAAGATCAAGGTGCTAGCAGGGTTGTATCTGGTGAGAGCTCCACCACTGGGTTATAGATGACCACCTTCTTGCTGTGTTGTTCACATGGCCCTTCCTGGATTTGTGCTCAAGGGAAAGAGTAGGAGCTGGATGTCTTTCCCTCTCTTTTAAGAACACCAGTCCTATCAGACTAAGGTCCTACCCTCATGACCTCATGCAACCAAAATTACCTCCCAAAGTTTTGTCTCCAAATACCATCATATGTACTTTAACATATAAATTTGGGGTGTTGGGGAGGGAACCACAAACATTCATTTTGTAACAGTATGTTAGTAGATTTGTTAATAAATAAGAAAGCTGAAACACCATCCCTAGTATGAAGAATGGCATTATCTTTCTAGTGAGAAAACAGAACTGTCTTTGCATATCTGTTAGCAAAGATTAATTCAAAACTATGTCAAGTTAGGGGTGCCTGGGTGGCTCAGTCAGTTGTGTCCGACCTCGGCTCAGGTCATGATCTGGTGGTCTGTGAGTTTGAGCCCCACATCAGGCTCTGGTCTGACAGCTCAGAGCCTGGAGACTGCTTCGGATTCTGTGTCTCCCTCTCTCTCTGCCCCCCACCCACCCCCGCCCCGCTCATGCTCTCTCTCTCTCTCTGTCCAAAATAAATAAACATTAAAAAAAACCAAAAAAACTACATCAAGTTAAAAATAATCTTAGATCACAAACTTATTCTCAAAATCAGTTTTCCTATCATTGTTTTGTGTCAACTTATCTGATTTATGACAATGAAATATTAAAACAAAACTATCGGGTAATATTGGTGTGATATTTCTCAGGTTTTTATAGCCAGGCTTTGCTTTGAAAGCTTAAATTATATGTATGAACATTTTCCATGGGCAAACCTGCCGATGATTTTAAATCAGTTAATGCAAATTTTAAATGATCTTCAGTTTTTCTCACCATAAAAAAACTTTATGTTTCAACAGTGCCTTCAGAATATATGAAATTATATATTATATCCTCACATCTGATAGTGGGACACAACTATACCCTCTAGTCTTAATAGCAGGAAAAGTATAGACAACTGTAAAGCTTAGCTTTATTGTTCCATAAATGAACCAGTAAAGTTCATTTTAGTGAAATGAGCACATGCTTTTCATAAATTAAATCCCACATGGTAAGTACTCATTTTCAAAATTAATTTAATTACATGTTTAAAGTTTAATTACATTTAATTAAGCATTTAAGTTTAATATGAAATAAATGAATTATCAGTTAACGACTATGAAATGAAATATTGCCTTGATAATTGAAATCTATAAATTTTCCTATTCTATGCAAAACTGCTAGCTCTCAAAAAACATTCTGAAAAAGTATGTATTTTAAAGACTAGAGGACTATATTCTCACAGGTGATCAAGTTTTTTTTTTCCTGGCACCCAGCTTCATGTGCTGCACATTTACTGCAGGAGCAAATGGAGACAGCCTGGCAGACAAAAAAAAAAGCAGAGGTTTTGAAGACTTAGTCACCAACAGCCTGAAAAAGTGGGAAAGCTACTTAGCATCTCTGACCTCAAGTTTCCTATAAAATGGAGAAAATATTACTTCTTTCGGAGGGTTGTGGGAGGATTAAATGAGCTATCCCATAGTCTAATGCCTGGAACAGTGCCTGACATGGAACAGGTAGTCAATAAATGTTAATTCCCTCCTTCTTTTAGTTGCTGATTGAATGAACAAAAATCTTGTACTTTGGGGATTAAAGAAAGTTTTATTATTTAAATGTTTTATTAGTTACAAAAGTAACACTATATTTTTTGTTCACTTACATCATTCTTAATGGACATTTTATATTTTTTATTTCCCTTAGCACTCTATAAATGGAGGCAATATAGCATTATTGCTAACACAGAATTTTGAGTCAGAAAGAACCAACTTTGAATCTGGGTTCCACCACTTACTGCTTGAGGAATCAGGGAAAAGTTATTTCCCAAGCCATAAAAGCATATGTATGTCTGGTTTACTGAATGACAAAAATTAAGAATGAGTATAATCAGTATAGTCATTCAAACTTAACAAAATATTACTGATGTAGGTAGGACAAATGGTATCCCCCCCATGCTAATTTTTCACAGAAGGATATTTATTTTCACTGAATTTAAGGGATTTTCCTAAGGATGGACTCAGCATCAGAACCCAGATTTCTTTCTTTGTTTCTTTACCAGTGTTCTTTCCTCCATAACATAGGAAGGTAAAGGCAAAGGACACCAAAGTCTCTTGAAGCAGTAAAGCAAAAGAAAGAGAGGGATCTGACTTAGGTTAATCCTGGTTCTATCACTTAATAGTTGAGCCTCAAGTAAACAACTTCTTTAAATTTTGGTATCTTCTTCTGGAAAATGGGAATACAGTTATGTTTCATACAAGGGTTTTACTAGACAACAAATGCAATGTGTAGTAGAGTGACTGACACACAGCAGTCAATCATTAATCATTGCTATTAACACTAAAACAACATCAGAGTACCATTTTTGGTAAGTCTCAAGCCACAGAATGGAGAAACCATAATGAAGCAAAGAATTTTTTTTTTTTTGGGGGGGGGGGGACACAGATTTAATAAAAATAAATAAGACAGCCTTTACTAAATTCTCAAGTAATATTCCTGGAAAAGAGACTTTAGACTTGTAAGTCATTTCAGTTCCTGTCTATTAAATCTCCATTTAAGGAGATCACTTTGAAGATGTGGTCAGTGAAGATCAGGTCACTTTGAAAATAATGGTTTTACAATATGAAAGAAAATAGAGGCAACACCCTATTCCATGGATTAGTTTCTATGATTCAACAGTTAAGAATTGAAATTAAATATTCTTAACACTATACATAAATTATTCAATGTCAAGTACTGTAATTTTCAGACTTTTGTCTTAATAAAGTTAGTATCACTATAAACATGTTGTATTTGTTTAATATTTAAAGCCCTTAACTGTAAAACACAAAAAAACCCTACATTGCTCTTAAGGCAATCTAAAAAACTACAAATTGTTTACTTACAGAATAACTAACTACAAATAGAAAGCCTTAATAAATAAAATATCAGAAAACATATTTACTTTCTGAAAGAACATTTATTGAAAAACAGCATTACTTTATACCATTTTCACTGCTAAGTAGTTTTTAGATATCTATTTGCATTTAGGACTAAAAGACCCCAATTTAAAAACTATTCCACATTTTCTCAAAATTAAAAACAGGAGGTATTATAATTTGGTATCCAGACTTTTCAAACTGCAAATTAAGGATAATAGCATATACAACAGTTATAGGACCAGAAAAAGAAAACTAAATATAAAGAAATATAAAGAAATATTATGAAACATATACACAAGATCACATATTTTATAGAAAACATTTATTAGGATATGTACCTTTAGTTATGCATTATTTCCAAGAGTGTGGTAAAAATGCATTCTATTAACCTGTGAAATCAGAAATGGGTCATTACTTACCATGGTTCTATATTAAGAGTTGAAGATGATTTTTCTGGGAAAAAAAATCCATGCCATTTTGAAGCCTCAATCAGTTCTTGTGGCATCTTTTTTGATGCATCATAATAGTGACCAAATCTTGAAGATGATACTGGTCCAGCCTGTTAAGAAAAGCCATACTGGTCATGAAAAAAATTATTATTATTATTTTTTAATTATTGTGTTTTTAAACTACAATGTATTCGAACTACATTCAGCAAAATATTGATACATTTATGCATTTTAATGCTGATAAGGAAGAGCTGATACACATAGACTTATTAAATTTCAAAGAAGCATACAACAACTTTTATTATTTTAAATGATAGTTAGAAATCAACCTTTTCATTTCCCATGTTTCTTCACTCCTGGTGGTCACTAAATTTGATAAGAATTCTCTTTGCTTTTCTTACCTTCCTGAGTTGAAAAAAAATTAATATACATGTTTTAATTATTTTTTAAAGATTCCAGGTTTAAATGATCAATTAAATATGGAGTTGCTAAGAACTAATGAAAACTTAAGCCAATTAAATCATTGGTGAGGGGCTCAAAAAAACTAGCTTTTTAAACATATTGAGCTGAGCATCATTTAAAAGCTAAATTCTCACAAGATAGTGTGTATATACATTCAAAATTTCTTGCTAATTTTAAATTAAGCTCATAGTATAAAATGTATTGAGGATACTCCCGATGGGAACAAGGCACATGATAAGGAGGGAGAACGTGTAGTTTATACTACATTAGATAAATCAGAAACCTGACATCATCATTAGTTCATTGATGCCTCCTCTTTTGTGCTATTATCAGTTTCTCCAACAAATTATCTTCTACACAAGTAACTCTAATAACTGTTGATGCTGAATTTATGTACATAGGATAGTAAAGGCCTAGTAACAGAACATTCTCATTATATTGCTTTGAATGGATTCTGTGCTGATTCAACTCATTAGAAATATGTACACACCTCTGTACAAAGTTGAACTCCTAACAGGTTCCACCTGGCAATAGTTTCCAATAGTTTCTAATCTAAATTTACATAGTTTCCACTGTCCTGAATGCTATAAAACAGACATATTTCAGAACATTCAACAAAACAGATAATCTGCAGATAATCTCTGCAGAAATGGAAGAGTAAATTCTCATTTTACGAAGTAACTGACAACTTTGTAATTTAGATAAGAAACAGACATTTGCTTGACACTAGATATTTGCATTTTGAGACTTAAAGGATTAATATTCTTCAACTGAATGCCTACCAACATCAACTCTACAGTAACACAGGATAAACAAATTTAAGTCTAATAGAAATATTATTCTCTGATACAGAGTCTGTGAGTTTGGCATTTACTTTCTAAATAAAATGACTGTTTATCCCTCCATAAGATACTGTTCACTTTCATTAAGGAAAGAGACCTATCAATTGCTCCATCTAATGTTTACAATACAATATATACACAAGTGTGGTTCTCAAAACATGATTTATCTATTTCACAAGACAGTGTTAACAAATAAAGTATGAGACATTAAAGTATACTTTTTAAAAATAGGGTAAAGTTTTTAAATGTAAAGTTATTAGTATAAAGCAATTTAAACAAGGTCTGTTCTTTGGCCTATAATCTATTCTTTATCCGGATTATAGTTCAGAATGTTTTTACTGCAATCTCTGCTAGAGCTCATCTTTTTATTGTGTAAGTCCAGGCCCCCTTAATGTTTTAGAAAGGCCTTGACTAACTGAACTTTGATCTGATGTCTTCATTGAGAAAAACACCAGGTTGCCCATTTCAGATGCAAATCCTCCTAAGGCCCAATAGAATTTAGTAAAGACAGCAAAAAAGAAGAAACAAGAAGTTTCCAGGATCCTCTTTGAGAATCCTGGGGCACACTGGTGTCCTTAATCCACGCTGCTCCATGGATTAAGGTAGGTGATAACCTTTCCTGATTCAAAAGAATAAGCAGAGTGCCTACAAACTGGGTGGAGACTAGGATTTGGTAATAATAAAACACCATGCAATAAAAGCTTGGTCTATGTCAGAAGCCTCTGAAAAGGCCTCAATGTACCACATTCCCAGGCCTAGTAGGGAAGCTTGCAAAAGCCTACCTGAATCAAATAAGCATGAATAATCTATTTTAGCAGACTGGCCATGGGGAGAGAGAAAGAAAGAGAGACTTTTCGCTTCTTTTAAGTTTGAGTTAATAAATTTATTAGTGCACTGAAGGTTCTTGAAGTCTTGGGCACTCAGAGAAATATGCTAAATTGCCAAGAAGCAAAGTATGCTTTTAAAGTTGCCGTCTCTATTAATGTTTCTAATTATAATATTAATGTGATAGAAATCTCTGATTTGGGATGAATCAAGGCAGAAAATTGATTTCATGCTGTGACAGTTTACATATAGAACACAAATAATTCATTAAAATGTAAGAATAAATTTGGAAGCTTTTCTTATTACCATTATTAATTTTTTAGAAATTATAATTAAATATGGTAACTAAAATATTCACAAGATAGACATAAAAATTTTTATTAATGATGAAATTTTATTAATCCTTCAATAAAAATGAAAATGGAAAATAAATATATATTTATAGGAAAAACGATTCTGTAAGGTTTTTTCTACCCATGACACAAAGCATTAACATACAATCAGATTTTTTAAATAATGTGAAATCATAAAACAAAGACTTCAAATATTTCCTCGGAAAAGAGATAACTAAATGTTTTAAATCTGACAATAGTAATACTCTATGAAAAAATGTCAACTCCACAAATGAAAGATGCATTAAAAAAATCAAAATATCATCAATAGCTAAGTCAGTTTTACTCAGTTTGTTAAGAACATGTTGCTTTAGTTTTACATTATGAAAACTTCTATTTCACAGTCTCAAACTATCCTTTACGTTTGTCAGTTGTGGAACAGAGTATAATGGACTGGTTCAGTAAAAATTTACTATGATAAGGGAAAATCAACTCTGATGGGGGCCAGCAGGGGTACAGAGCAATAAAACAATACCATCCCCTACCTCCAGTATGTTACAAAGAATCAAAACTTTCAGAGAAAAGTTGCACACAAATAAAGTCTAAATAAGACATTTTCTTATTATTGTTACCATTTCTTGTTTCTCAGTATGGCATAATGGAAAGCAAGAGCCCAAATGATTAATTAACCATTTTGAGCCTCAGTTCAATCACTAATAACTATTTTGCTAGGCTGCTGTGAGAATCTAATGCAACACTGGCAATGAATATTTTGTAAATTGTGAAGCACTACATAAGTGATATTAATTATTGTTATTGTGTCATGATTCACTAGGGAACAGAAGATCCATCACTATCCTTTGCAGTAACATTGCCTTATTGAAAAAATGATATCTGTTGTCACCTGTACCATGCACATATCTATCACAGGACTATCATGGCTGAATCACTAAGATAGAAAGCCAAGGTATAATGAGGATTTAATATAACAAAGATCTAATATATTGCCATGAAGTGCGAGAGCCTTATAAGCTCTGGTAGTAGAACTATACAATATTAAAGAAATTGGGTCTCAGAATATCCTGTAAGCTACCAATTCTTGGGGTGAAAAGGGAATAGGATTTGATGATTGGACAGGGAAAAAAAGAGCATGCCTACCTAAGACAGAGAGTCAAAATGACAGGACAAGAGAAGGGGGACTTTTTAAAGCCACACACCCCTCCAACTGGAAGAAGCACTGTTTTATGCTTTATTGAGCTATTGTTACTGATTTAGGTGTGCATATTCTTATCTTTTTTTTTTTTTTTTTTTTTTGCATTCCCTAAATGGGAATGTGACTACAGTCTTAGGATCTGGTGGCAACTTATATTAAGAAGCATCTCTGATAAATGCCACACCTAGTTTTGGACTACTTGTTTGATCTATACTCGTAATAGTGTTAACTATATTTTGTCACAGATAAAATACAGAAAACCCAGGGTTTTGTTGTTTTTAAACTAATAATGGCAAAGTAAAATCTGGATTTATAAAGTAGATGACAGCTGACGACCAAAGTCTATTAATCTCAGCAAATCCTCATTCACAAAATTTCTGTGACAGGCGAATACACATGCTGGCCAAATTTCAAAGAAAAGCAAAGAAGCCAGAAGACAATTCTATTTTGTAAACTTGACAGAGCTAACTTATAAATACTAAGAAATTTAAGTTTGACCACTGACAGTAAATTTGAAAAAAGCCTTTTTTTATTTATATTAATTAATGCAACTTAAGTCAGTTTTGCATTTAATTCACATACTATATAATTCATTCACTCATGCATTCAACAAATAACTGGTGAGCACCCACTACAGCCCAGTAAAACAAGATATTCAAAGTCCCTTTCTTCCATTGAGCTTACCTACTAGTAGGAAGACAGAGATAATATTATCTGTTAGGTGATGATAAGTGCCCTGGAGAAAAATAAGACCTTGAAAGGAGATAACAGTGAGAGAGTGATTTTATTTTATAGAGAATGAGAAAAAAAAATACATTCCTGATAAAGTGATATTTTAGCGGAGAACTCAAGAAAATGGGAGAGGAAGTCATCTAGGAAAGTTCAGTGTAAGAAGAGCACAATTTTTAAAACAAACTGTAAACCTTGAAAACTGACCATGGGGCTTATGTTTCGTTTCGTTTCGTTTTGTTTTTAAAGGAGAGAGTGGGGCCAGGAGGGGCAGAGGGAGAGAAAGGGAGACTCCCCAGTAGGCTCCAGGCTATCAGCACAGCCTGGAACCCATGAATCATGAGATCATGACCTGAGTCAAAATCAAGAGTCTGATGCTTAATCAACTGAGCCACCCAGGCACCCCTTACCCCATGTTTAAACAGATTTTGTAACAAGCAGTAAAAAAGTAAAGCTTAAAGTTTCAGATATTTGCATCTTTACTTATAATTTCATGTGAAGAATGTTAGTGACCAATGAAAAAACCAAAATATAATGGAGATAAGAGTAAAATAAAGTAAGTAAATGCGAGAGACAAGTGATTTATATAACCTAAAACTGGACTGTCTTTACAAGAAAGCTGATTTAACTTAGAGCTTTTGTTCATTACAGGTTCTTTCAGAATCCCACTAGAAAAATTAGAATATAGTCATTCTTCACCAAAGAGTCACCATTAAGCCCAGTAACTTAAGTGAAACTATCGGCTGAAAGACATGAATGAAGTTCTTTGTCATTAGGCTTCTCAAGTGCTAGTCCTACACTCCTTGTCTATTTTAATCTCTATCACTCTACTCACATTTTCGTAAGCAGAATAACTACATTTATTTTGGCCTCTTTTACCCAGTTCTCAATCACATCCAAGCTAGGCTATGTCTGTAACAACTGACTAGGCAGAGCTTCTTCCCTTTATTTTTTAATACAAATATATGGTGTTATACTGTACACATATACCATACACATAATACACATATTATGGTATATGTTCATTTATATGGTATATAGTTTATTTAACTAAGTGCTTACTGGTGGACATTTAGGTTCTTTCCAATCTTTTGCTATTAAAAATATACTGCAAAAATAGCTCATATATATTTCATTTTACATGTAAGTAAATATATTCATAATGTAAATGCCCCAAAGGATCAAAGGGTATATATTTTCTATAATTCTAAAGGCTACTACCAGATTACCCTCCACAGAAATTGTACTTATTTACATTTCCACCAGCAAAGTATAAAAGTACTAATTTACCCACACCTCTGCTAATCTAGTGTCTTACCAAACATTTTAGGTATTGACAATCTGTTAAGAGAAAAACAGCAAGGTCAGTGCAGTTTTAATTTGCATTTTTCTTATTGTAAGTGAAACTGGGCATCTGCTTCTATGTGTTTAAGAGCCACTAAATTTCCTTTGTATATTTCCACCCATTTTTAAAAAATTAGGTTGGTAGACTATTCCTTATTCATTTTAGAAGTTCTTTGTATATAAGGAAAATTTATTCCTTATTCTATCAGTTGCAAATACCCTCGCTTTGGTTTGTAGTTTGTTCACAGTCATGTAAATCATGCTTAAAAATGTATTCAAATAGCTTTTTCAGCTAAATTAGAACAACTTATCATTGCTTAATATGTACCTATGTACCATATTTTATACTTAGTACACAGTTGATACTTAATATTTGCTGAATGACTGAATACATTTATCAAACACCAAATGCTTATAATCTGGGCATTAATACAGATGCTGGAGATACAAGAGAAAATAAAACAGGCTCTCTGCCCTCATAGAGAATTCTCCACAGAGAATTCTCACAGAGAATTCTCCACAGAGAATACAGAATTCTCCACAGAGAATTCTGTCTGGTGGAGAAGACAGTTATACCAACAATTACCTATAACATTATATTAGAAGTACTTTAAAATACATGAAGGGCTGGGGCACCTGGGTGGCTCAGTCGGTTGAACATCCGACTTTGGCTCAGGTCATGATCTCACGGTCCATTAGTTCGAGCCCTGCGTCGGGCTCTGTGCTGACAGCTCAGACCTGGAGCCTGCTTCGGATTCTGTGTCTCCCTCTCTCTCTGCTCCTTCCCTGCTCATGCTCTGTCTCTCTCTGTCTCAAAAATAAATAAAACGTTAAAAAGAAATTTTTAAAAAATAAAAAATAAAATTAAAAAAAATTAAAATACATGAAGGGCTGTGAACACAAAAATAAGAAATTAGATAATAATGTATGGAAAACTGTCAGAGTAGTAACATTCGCACTTGGAGAAGGCTGAGTTGGTGAATAAGAAAGGGAAGATCATTACCAGCATAAATATAAGCTATTTATAAGGATCAAATCTCATAGGACAGGTGAATATAGTGTTTTATAATCACACAGGAGGAGTTAAAAGGTAGGTTTGGATAAGGTTCTACAGATCTTATACATAATCTTGAGAAGTGTGTATTTTATATTTCAGGCTTTTAATGGCAAACAGGTTTCATCTTACATATTCACTGGTAGTGACCACCCAGAATATTGCAGAGAATACTAAGGCTTTGTCTAAGCTTGGTTAGAAGGGTGCTATGATATACAGTCTACCATGCATTTAGAAGGAGGCAGTGGAAACAGTATACCAAATTATGCATTTGCAGTTAAGGAGTGTTATAAACATATTTCTGTCCTTGGGGAAGGAACAGTCAATGTGGAAGACTAAGGAAGGGTGGACGATGGGTGCCATGTCTCATATTAAAATTTCTTTCTTTTCTACCAATATGATAATGTCCGGTAGACATTAAAGTGTTATGAAGACTGAAGTAAACAATCAAAAAAGGAGCTAAGTGAATAGAGCCTTCCCTAGGAGCAGAGTTCATAAGCTTTAGTGGGCAGATTCACTGACATCTGTTTTCTCAGAAAATTTCCCTTCACTTCCTATCTCTTAGTCTATCCACACCGAGTATTTATAGGTATTCAAGCTGGATAGAAATAGCCTTAATGCGTTTGCTTACTCTGGTTTGCAACCATATAATAAAAGATTCTACATGGAGGGTATAGAAGAAATGAAATCTATTTTGGTAAAAAAAAAAATTGCCATAATTTTATTTGTAAGAAATATCATCTTGATAAAATACAAATAAAATATTAGTCATTTAAATGAGCAAATAGACATCGTAGTGCATTTAAAGAATAACAGGTATACCACAAAAGAGTCTATAAGATGAAAACAAGTACATTTACAAATTTTAGAAAAGTTTCTATGTTGACTTGCCTCCATCTTGGGTAATAACTGGTAACGCCAAGCTATTTTCATTTTAATGTTAGATTCTGCTGTTTTATGATTACATGCGTCTTCATCAAAATCTTTTTTAACATTATCATCAAGTAATGGTGCAGGAAGTTCCTAAGAAAACAGAATGACACATTATTCAGCATCTGTGTTTTAAAAATGTAACAATTTTCTTAAATGATAATATTAGCAATACTAGAACTTTCCAACGTCTTGATGCCTTAAAAATGATTCAAACATAAAGTCATGACAATATAGCTATTTCTAAAACAGAGGAAATATTATATATATAATATTGTGAAGTTTAATTTTTTAGGAATGAGCTAGAATTTAAAGAAAATATTCAAACTTGTATACCATGAAAAGCCAAATGCCATTGCAACAAGAGGTATGATCTTTTCATATATATATACTATATATTTAAAGCAAAGTCTGGAATTAGCATTTATGTATTGCAGTTAAAGCAAAGTCTGAAATTAGCATTTATGTATTGCATTTAATTACTGTTATGTTTCCCACAAGGTAAAAATACAGCATGTGTGCAATCTGTTTACTGGTTTGTAATACTAGAATGCAAAAAACTCATTCATGAAAATAACAGGTGAAGTAACAACTAAGAATACAGGCATTTATTTTGCCCTTATCAAACATTACTTTTGTAAATGCAAACCTTTGTCTCTTCTCTTAACAATGAAAATAGATTTAACTCTCATTAAGTGAAGAGGTATTGAAGTCCAATTTTATCTTTTCTTTTTTGGAAGCTGACCTAGGGAGGAACAGCTATAAAAACATTGAAAACATATGTGTGTGTGTGTGTGTGTGTGTGTGTGTGTGTGTGTGTGTGTAAAGAGGTACTACAGTAACAACGCAAAGAAAAAAGTACATAAGTTTCTTGGAGAAGGAAAGCACATGAAATTGTTGCCTTTTTTATTAGTCAAAATCATAAAGATAATGTGGGGTGCTGGATTAGTAAACACAATCTTGTGTTATGTCATAAATTAGTCTAAATTGCAACTTTTACTTTGCAAGATCAAATGTATTTATTCTTAGAATAATGTCAACTAAGCAGCTGGAAAACACATTAACCATTATATATTTTAGTTATCTACTAAAAGACCTCCAAATAGATCTACACTTTAATTTATGCTAGTATTAGATGAGTTATATCATTTAACTGTGAATCCATCATTCCTAGCAAAGCATTAGCATCTTACAAAATATAAAGTAACTTCTTCTAATGGAAATAAATATTTGTGAGGCATATGGTATAATACAGTATAGTGGCTATGAGTTTGAATCTTACAACTAAATTGTTTAGGTCCAAGTCTTGACTTTACACACTAGTAGCTAGGTCTGTGGTTACCTTGACCACCTATTGGACCTCTCTATATCTCTATTCATCATCTGAAATATAGAAATAACAATATTCATTTTATTGGGTTTTTGTAATGAATAAATGAGTAAAGAATGTGAAATGTAAGAAATGGTGCCTGCTGCATGTTAAGCACTTAATAAAATATCTGATTATGAGAATTCAGTCAAATAATTGCTTTAACCACTATTCAGAGCCACATATTTTGTGTTGGCAATAGTAGGCAATGTATTGATGGTTGAATCATTATATTGTACACCCAAAACTAATATAACACTGTATGTTAATTATACTTGAATTAAAAAAAAGAAAAAAGGAAATATCTAGTGCAGAATGCAGAAAGGAGGAACCTAATAGTGTTCCAGGGGCGCCTGGGTGGCTCAGTCGGTTAAGCGGCCGACTTCGGCTCAGGTCATGATCTCGCGGTCCGTGGGTTCGAGCCCCGCGTCGAGCTCTGTGCTGACAGCTCAGAGCCTGGAGCCTGTTTCAGATTCTGTGTCTCCCTCTCTCTGACCCTCCCCTGTTCATGCTCTCTCTCTGTCTCAAAAATAAATAAACGTTAAAAAAAAAATTTTTTTTTCTAATAGTGTTCCTGAGTTGAAGTGACTATGCTAGGAGTTCAAGGAGGCCATGTGGCAAACTACAGGGGAAGAGTGGAGCACAGAGAGAGAGCTCCAGTGATCTGTGGAGGTAACTCTTGAGTACTGATCAGTACATAGACATAAGGAAACTACCCAAATGTGGTGAAAGAACCACTCAAAAGGAGCAAGCTGAACGATTTCTGCAGCTTACATAGAACCAGAAAAAGTCCATAGTCTCACCGACCAGAGTGGAGAAACGTTGTAATTCATAAGGCTTTAAGTAGAGAAGCAAAATTAGCTTTAGAACAAAAGCTGCTCTGATCCCACCTGACAAAGCTCAAAAGCTAGCCTCAAAGTGATCAAAGTGTTTCCAAGTAACTTTACTGAATCCCAGAAATTAACTCAAGAATGTCAGCAGGAATGTAAAATATCCAGCACTGCACATGTTAAAATTCATACTATCTGGAGCCAATAAAAAAAATGAATGAAAAAGAACAGGAAAATAGGACCCATAATAAGGAGATGCAGCAGTGATACAAATATAATTAGACTAAGACAAAAAACAATTATGGTTATAGTCCATGTGTTCAATAAAGATTGAGCATATAGAGATATGAAAGACATATTATTAAAAGACCCAAATGAACCTCTAGAAATGACAACTTCAAGATCTGAGATTTTTAAAACCCACTGGATGGCAGGAGCAGATTAGACATTTCAGGAAAAAAGATTAATGAACTTCAAGACATATCAAGAGAAATTACAAAAAAAATAGCTATGACAAAGGTATCAAACTAAAAAATTAAAAAGCCAACCTCCCCCACAATAATCATTAAGTAAACCACATTCCTAGCATAAACTTATATACATACATGGATATATTAGACAAAATACTTCCAAAAAAATAGCATGTAATAAAATACTATTAATAGTGGAAAATGAACATTTTACTTTAATTTATACAAGAACACAAAAACAAAGCAAAATTGAAAGAATGATTCTCATCAATGATTCTTTACTTTGAGTGAGATTATTTCCTGACACATTCTCTTCTAGGATTAGAAGTGTGATACAAAGCACATTAAGATGTTGGAGTCCCTATGCTCCTTTCTATGTGTTTCAGTTTTCAGTGAAATCAGTTCTTCTTTTCTTCTTTCCTGTAAAGAATGAGGAAATCAGCATGTAGCACTTTTTCCCTATTATTTTTATAATGTCAAGCTTTATAGATTATATTCTTGTCTGCAACCAGATACACAGTTGTTTAGTTTAGGTTTTTTGTTGAAATGGATTCACCATGGTTCCTTTTACCACAGTTCTGTCATTCTTGGGTTTTTAAAAATGATACCTGTGTTCACTTAGCAGTTCCAGGAAGATACAAGGGATGAAGCAGTGAGCAAAATAAACAAAGGAAGGATAGTGATATGGATTTTAAGACAAAAGAGGGAAGGAATACAGAGTAATGGGAGGAGATGCCACTTTACATAGAGTAGTCAATGAAGTTCTCAGTGATGAAGTAAATACATGGATTATATTTTCAAATTTTTTTTTATCCAACCAATGCTTTGGGTGTGTGTGTGTGTGTGTGTGTGTAAATATCTATATCTATATCTATATGTGTATTTAGATATATGTATATATATAGATATAGATACATAGTATTGTATAGTATATATAGTATATATCTATATGTATATATATAGATATATATAGTTATAAGCTTAGTTATTAGCTAATAACTAAGTTGATTTATTATTAGATTAGCTTAACACTAGGTAGGTGTTGCTATTGCCACTGTGTTATCTTCGGACAAGGAATGATGCTGTGATATTGAAGGCTTCCACTCTTGTAGGTGATTTGCTTCTTTCTGACTGAAAGCCTGAATAATTCCTCCTTTATCCTTGCAGTTTAATAACTTAAATGGGCTATATCTATGTCTATTGCTTTGTGTTATTTCTCCTCTGTAATATTGGAGGCCCCTTTAAGCTGAAGATTGTAATTTCAGGTAAAATTTTTTGTGTCTCACATTTAACATTATTTTTCTCTTCTACACGATACTAGAATATATTCTTATTGATATAAATATTAGGTATATCATTGACAGTTGTAAAATGTCACACAGTAAACAATTTAAACGTTAGATGATTAAATTTTCCCATTTTCTAGACCAGCTGTGACTTATAGAAATTTCTGTGATGTTGGAAATGTTCTATATCAGCACTATGCAATACGGTAGCTACAAGCTACTTAAATTTAATTTTATTAGATAACATATATTCTCACTTACTGTTTTAATCTCATTTCTCTAACTGTGTCGTGACTATTGCAAGCCTGTTCCTTACTGCTACTAATATTGGGTAATAATATTATTTAAGTCAAATTGTATTTTTAATTCTGCCATTATCCTTTTTATCCACTTCTCATGTTTTTTTCCCCCACTTCATTTCTGTGATATTTTATTGAACTCATGTTCTTTTTGTTGTTGTTTTGAACTCATGTTCTTATTAAGCTCTTATATAAATCTTTTATGGAAGAATTTCCTTCTCTTCTTGGATTATGTTTCTTTCAGACTTTTTTTTCCTCTAGCTAAAGTTTGAAGGCTGAGTATTGTGCTACGCACCTCATTTTTCTCTATCTTTATGTGATGAGAGCTTAGACAAAATTAAACATCATCTTCTTTGGCAGACCTAGGCTCTTCATTTTCTTATGAGATTTCATAAAATGGCAACTTCCTGTGTTCACATTAGTTGGTTCAGTGAGTATTTTATTCTCATTTAGGGGATGATATACTATTAAGGTTTGGATTACATACCGAATTCAGTGTTGCTTTCTGGAAAAATTACTTTAGTTTAAGACCATCAGCCCAAATTACCTTTTTAAGGTAATATTTCTTTGGTTTCTGGGTGTGAGGGTGAAGTTAGGAAGAGTACTGAATGGTGACTTTTGTTTGGCAATGGACTTTATAAATTTATGGCATTGGGTTGGACTGTGACTCTTGTTATGTTCAGTATAACTGATTTTTTGGAGTATTTTAAATTACTTTTTGTTTGGTAATATAGGAGAACCTATGATATAAATTTAGTATCCTGACATCTTAACCATAAAACCCATATTCAATAATTCTAAAGTAACCTTTGGGAAAATTTCAAACAGAGATAAAGTAG